GGGGGGGGGGGGGGGGGGGGGGTCGGAGAGGAGGGAAGGGACAGTGGCACTTTCATCAACTTGCTTTGAGCGCCAGAGACGCCCTGGAGCAATGTTGTCCGGGGCGGTGTCTCGCCAAACAAACTGCGTCCCAAAGCGCGGTGCCGTCACTGACCATACTCCAATGGCGGAGCGAGATAATACAGATCACCCACCCAGTGCAGTGCAAGGAGATGTAAATGCTTGTCACGGCAATGTTGTCCGGGGCGGTGTCTCGCCAAACAAACTGCGTCCCAAAGCGCGGTGCCGTCACTGACCATACTCCAATGGCGGAGCGAGATAATACAGATCACCCACCCAGTGCAGTGCAAGGAGATGTAAATGCTTGTCACGTTACTGGATCTTGAGGGGAGCAGCCAGATCACTGATGCACCCATAGGTGGGGGTGTTGGCCCCAAAAATGGTATAGAAGGGGCCATGTGAGGTATTGAATGGAAGCTTGCTGTCTGCTGATCCTATGGACGCTGTTCATGGGAGTGTATAATGTCTGTGTGTGCAATTATTAGCCTGTACTTGTATGGACACTGAAGATTTCCCTGCATGGGGTTGAGCATAGACAGAGCCCGGCCTATGGACATGCTAATCAGCGAGGCCCTGTGGGACAATGGCTCTCAATGGGCCAAGGACACACCTAAAGAATGGGGGCTGTCACCTGAGAGACAGAACCAACCCGGCCTCGAGACTGAGAACCCCCGGGCTGGCAGAGACCTCAGGGGTCATGGAGTCCAGCCCCCGCCCAAAGCAGGACCAACCCAACTCCATCAGCCCATCAGCGTGTGCCGGACCAGGGGAGCTCAGGCCTCGGGCTCTCCTGGGGCTCCCCTCCTGGCTGCCACCCCACTCCGGCCGGTGGGGCTCCCTTCCCCCAGCCAACCATGCACCCCGGCTGCAGAGACTTCCCTGCCCCTCTGGCCAGGCCGGGCTCCCTGCCTCCAGGCCACTGCCCCCCTCTCCCCCCAGGCTGATGGCTTGTGAGGAGGAGCAGTTGCCGGACCAGAGTCTTGGACCAGGGAGGACCAGCCTGTGCCATCACGCTGAGTACAACCCACGAGCGCCTGTTTCTGCCCACTCTAATGCTCTAGCAACCTAGGGGAGTGTTCCATGGGACTGCCCGACCCCCGGCTCGACCCCCGGCCAGACGCAGGGTGTGTTGTGTCCAACTCCTTCCAGCCAGACGGACCCCGACAGCCAGCCCCTCCAGGCACCATCGCGTCCCCGGAGTCTTACCTATCTGGAGAGTGTGCATCCCGGGGTCGAGGAGGGTCGACATCTTCACATGCCTTCCTGGCTGCAAGTTGAGAAGAACATGGGGTGAGCATTGTGTCCCCTGCCCGAGCCCCCCTTGGGAAGAGCCCACTGCATCCCCCGCTAGTAGCTGTTCCACAGAGAGGACAACAGACTACTACTGCTGCTGGCTAGCGGAGCTGCTCCTTTAGCTCAGTAGGATGAGGTGTGTGCGCCACCCTCTGCGATCAAGTCCTACCTGAGGAGGGGCTGTTCCTCTTGTCCTGACCAGTGATGGGCCAGTCACCAGACGAGGACCTCTGCTAGCCAGATGGGAAATCCCTGAGCCATATGGGCGTGGCTGGGGCAGGCTGGGGCTGCGGAGGGGACGTGTGTTTCTGAAGCAAAGTGACCGAGGATGCGTTTATACTCCAAAGGTCGCACTGGCTTCACGGAGCCATGCTGAGCGCTAGAGCAGCGACCTAAGGGTACGTCCACTGCAGAGCCATTTCCCGAAATAGCCATTCTGCGTCTATGGAAGCAGCCCGTTATTTCAAAGATTTCAAAATCACAGGCGGCTTCTTCCAACAACCCGGGAACCCTCGAGGTTACGGGGAATTTCCGAATAGAGAGTTATGTCAAAATTGGACGCTGTGTAGGGGTCATCGAGTCCAACCCCTGCCCAAGGCAGGACCAATCCCAACTCAATCAGCCCAGTCAGGGCTTGGTCCAGCCGGGACTTAAACACCTCTAGGGATGGAGATTCCACCCCCTCCCTAGGGAACCCAGCCCAGCGCTTCCCCACCCGCCTCGGGAAATCGTTTTTCCTAAGATCCAACCTAGACCTTCCCCACTGTAAGTTGAGCCCATTGGTCCTTGTTCTGCATCGGCCCCCACTGAGAACAGCCTCTCTCCAGCCTCTTTGGAACACTTCCCTACCTCAAGTAGGGCTTAGGAGAACAATGTGAGAGGTATGCAGTTATATGACAGCGGGCCACTGAGAACAGCCTCTCGCCAGCCTCTTTGGAACCCCCCTTCAGGGAGTTGCAGGCTGCTCTCAGATCCCCCCTCGCTCTTCTCTTCTGCAGACTGAACAAACCCAAATCCCTCAGCCCCTCCTCATAGGTCATGTGCTCCAGCCCCCTAATCATTCTGGTCGCCCTCCGCTGGCCCCTCTCCAATGATTCCACTTCCTTTCTGCAGTGGGGGGCCCAGAACTAGACACAATCCTCCAGATGTGGCCTCCCCAGAGCGGAAACAAGGGGAACAATCACTGCTCTGGATCTGCTGGCAATGCTCCTCCTAATGCAGCCATTCGCCTGCTTGGCTACAAGGGCGCCATTGACTCATCTCCAGCTTCTCATCCCCTGCAGTCCCCAGGCCCTTTTCTGCAGAGCGGCTGCCCGGCCAGTCGGTCCCCAGCCAGCGCAGGGCTTGGGAAGTTTTCAGCTCAGAGAGGGGCAGCCACAATCACTGCTCTGGATCTGCTGGCAATGCTCCTCCTAATGCAGCCATTCGCCTGCTTGGCTACAAGGGCGCCATTGACTCATCTCCAGCTTCTCATCCCCTGCAGTCCCCAGGCCCTTTTCTGCAGAGCGGCTGCCCGGCCAGTCGGTCCCCAGCCAGCGCAGGGCTTGGGAAGTTTTCAGCTCAGAGAGGGGCAGCCAAACCCTCGTCTCCAATGGGCCGCGGGCCCAGGACATGCAGTGCGCACGCC